CACGTGATATGTAAATACTTCTGTGAATGTTAAGTTCAGTTATATGCAAAACGCATTTATTCGCCACGTGTTCTAGCGAACTATCGTTAGATCGTTCATTAAGTACCACCGTAGTACCACGAAGGCAATTTTTCCTGTAATATATATTGAATAAAAACACGAACACATTTGCCAAAGCAAAATCAAACACTGGATGGGACTTTAACATTTTGGGGAGGAGGTGCACACACGTTTTTTTTCTATTTGCATATCATATGTGTGACCCATTATTCGTATACGAGTATTGACAAATAAATGGAATACAAATCACCCAATTATTAAATGTTTTGGAATGGAGCATTTTTTTCAGCAGCGTATCATTTTAAAATGATGAGCGGCATATATCGTGTTCTACAAAGCTGTTTATTAAACCAAAATTGAATTCAATGTATTACGTCTGAATGAAACACAAACAAAAAAAGTCTAAGGAAACCATTTATCCCAACCCTGACATCTCTCCTGAAAGTATAATAATAATACAACTAATTAATATTATTGAATAATACTAATTACTATAATATACAAAATATGGTTTCCACGCGTGACGGAACAAGAAGTTGTAACATCTATACATAGGTTATGCAATATACGTGAAAGGTCGAGTAATTTAAACGAAAATATTAATAAAATCATAAAACTCAAGTCAACATTTGGAAGAACCCACCGTTCTTTGACAGTTTACGTTTTTTATTAACTGGATTTTAGTTTTGGAAAAGGAAAAATGTAACCAGAAACGTTTCCATGGAAACTGCGAATTTATTTACCCCGTAATATTGAGCACTTATAAGGTTATTTAAGGTTAGTTGGCTTAATGTAATTTAAACGACGAAATCTTTCAGAAATGTCACATTCCTAGTACTTATCCGGTATCAATAATATTTCCAATATATTTTGCAGTGTTTAACTGTTTTTGACAATTACTTCCATTTTGAAGATAACGAAAGTGTTCCTCCAGGATGAGGCCGTGCACATTTTGGTTGCTTTTAACCTAGTATTTAAATAACAATACTGTGCACGATATCGTCGCTATTTCTGGTGACAGCTGTTTGAAATGCATACTAATGCATACCTGCGTTTGTATTTGAATCGGTGACGTATGCGGGGTCACGGCGGGTCAACCCGTTGCCAGTTACAACTGCGCTAAAGTGAGTGAGTTAAGCTGCGAAAAGTAGCCGTCATGTATTATCGGCGATAAAGATACGTGGGACATTTGGTTTTTCAGCAAAATTTTATAATGCATTCCCAACCTGCCTGTGATAGAGTTTATGAATTCTCTCGCGAGTTTAAATACGTTCGCATTTTGGCCTTAATATCGAATCCTCGGTAAACAAGTCTCAAATTCATCTTGTATGTTGCATACGTCCATGAGCGACATGGTTTTGTTATATTTTATGAAAGTTATAATTCATCTTAACCCACCCACCCACTCATGCCCGGTTACATATTCTGTTCAATGCACATTGTAATTACAACACACGTGCATGTAACCTATACTAATAGTAATTCATATGAAAATCAACCAACATAACACACAGTGAACACACAGCCTATTGTGTGTGCGTGTAATTGAATCTACTCAATAAAACACGGACATCAAAGATTGAAGCCAATTTTCAGCTCGCTGTCTATGAAAATTTACTACGACAATAGTGTAATAAACCAGTTACTCAGCCTGTCAGTTAGTTATTCAGAATTGTGCCCGACCGGAAGTGAAATGTCAGACATTCCAAAACATTATCATATATAATATTTGATTCCTATAATCATAGAGATATTTAACATTTTCTTCCAGGTTTATATACGATTGCACACAGGTCTACATGATGGTGTATCGGAACCACAACTCTGAAATGTTTTGTGTTTGTTCTTGAACTCGCAGTCTAATTATAATAATTCCAGGCTGTAGTCTCGGTTATGTACCGCCATATGGCCTCTTGTAATACTATTAATTTAATACGCAAATCACGCACATCAAATAGATGTTACAATGGTGGCTGCATATCATCGTGTTTGTATACTTACGTGTACCCTTTAGCTACAGCCATTGCAGACCATTAAACCGCCTACGTCTAGCAAGTTCAGACCATGACCTGTGTCTTCGGTGAGTCAGTATCCTGCTCCGTCACTCTGCGGTCACAGCAGAGAGAGCCACAATGCGGTGTGCTGATATGTCTTACAAGAACCCTGCTAGAACTATCCGAGAGACTCAACAACACGCCAATAATAATGACGGGCGTTTTTTGGTCGCTACAGAGAAGGTAGTAGTTGGCACTGCTCTGTCACAGGACCTCATGCGTCACACGATTTCGCACTGATAAGAAATGCGGGACATACTTCCTTATCGCAGATTGCCGGTTCACAGTTCAGCCAATGGCACACGCTCTTCGAGACACTCGTATCATAACGTTGATTATTTTCGATCCGTGAGATATGAATTAAGTTGTTTTCGGATTCACAATCAACGTCTGGTGACCTCACATTGCAGCGTAAGCTGTGAGTGAATCCTTTAACCTAAAGATTCCCGAATTAATCATATAGTTGATCTTATTATTCGAAAGAGGTGGGGAAGATATGAACGGAGGGACACGGCACATTTCTGACACTGGTTCTATGTAGGGGCAGGCATTACGACAAATTAAAATATGGCAAACGGTACTGAGTGATAGGTGTAGGTTGGACAGCCAGACGGCCACCAATAACCCGCTTTGTGATTTGCGATTTATAAATATTTAATCCAAGTTTGCGTAGCTTAAGATTATAGAAAGGAATAATGCATGATAACCTGTACCATACAGTACCGCCATTCCTTGCCCAAAGCTACGCAAAATATTCTACACCACGTTACAACTTGCATGATGTTATTCCTACTACATTGAATTTTATTCAATTAAAACGCGACCCTATATAGAGTGTAATTCAATTTAATTGTGCATACATATAAGATTGAAAATAGTAACTCGTAAATTATAAATTGCAAATCGTGGCTCAGTTGTGGCCGAGACAGTATTATATCTAGCGTCGATATTAAAATATAATTCATATATGTATAAATAAGCACAGGGAGTTGGGATAACTTGAATACAATTTGTATTAACAAAAATAATATTTGTCATTCTTCTTCTATCTACCCGATGTAACCAAGGTTCTCTTGTTTTTACGTTATAGATTTACAACATTCAACTTTATGCAAATTTTAATCCTTCATTACACGTTGTGAATGACCTCTATTTCTTATGAAACTATTGTGCGTTGTTTTAACTTCTCCGTTGTTGTCAACACAACTCTTATGTATGTATACTCCAAATAACCACACTAGATTATGCTAAATAGCGAGCGGTTCAGTCCTAAGAATTATATTCACATGAGTGCATGGTATTTACCCACGAAATGCTTAGTGAGGTTGTTGTCCACGGCAACTGCACTCTGCTAATTACTTCTGGATTATCAGTACAAAGCTGTACGCGTTTGTCTGGCCACAGCCTGTTTCATCTCACAGTTTATAAAATGTAAAATCAGGGGCAAATCGTGAAAATAACTGTGAAATACTAAACTGAAGAAAACCGGCAAGGCCGACATCAGCTCTATCTGTGCGCTCCTAGCCAATACTGTACACAATTCAGATCACCAGGCCTTATCATATATCAACTAGCAACACATAATACGGGCGTCATTCCAACCAGCTGGAGATGATCGCTACGGCATATGGGCCATGCAATACTGTACACTCGCCGCAAATATGGAATATTAATTATTAACAACTATATTGTTGCAGCATTTAATTATTTTTTTCTCTCAAACAAGGCTGATTTTAATTCAAGTTCTACCAATGTTTATATTTAATCTTTTGTTTATGTGCAGGACATTGTTGCCCTCAGCGACCGATCGAAAAATATGAAATATCGGATCGCGTCCCCCCCCCACATACTTCGGCTATTTACGTTTAAAATAAATTTTAGTTTAAAAAAAAAATCCGACCGACCGACCCAATTTTTCAATTTTCCGACTTGAGGGCAACATAAGTTTTTTTTTGGCCTTATGTGTCATACCGTCACGGTGAAATGAAACGATGGGTATTATCGCCGTATCCAGATATTGTATGCAAAAATGACGATAGTGTAGGTAAATAT